TCATATATACATATATATATATATATATATATATATATATATATATATATATATATATAATATATATAAATATATGAAAATTTGATGTAGGTACTCAAATGAAAGGTCTCGATGAGTGTAACATCATGATGAGCTCATATCTTTAGAAAAGTCAATATTTTACAAAATAAAAGGTTATTTCTTAATTATGTATAATAGAGCATTTTCGTGGCACTAGTCACAAAATTTTTCTTGTTCTCTTACAAAAATAGATTACAACATTGCTTATTTTTTTTTTTAAGAAATTTATTTTCTCAGTGTACTTGAACATTAATATCTCATCAAATAATCATCACATAAAAAACTTGAGGGTAGTCTGAAAAACTAAAAAAAATTCTATTGTTTTTGAAAAAGAAATTTTCTATTTTTAAAGCACTTTTTTTTAATTAAATACAATACAACAATAAAAAAAAATTATTAAAGAGCTTTAACTAACTCACAATAATAATAAATAAATAAATAATTATCCAGGTTGGAAGACGAGCTGAAGAATTCAGTGAAGCCCAAACAGTTTTGCGGGAATCAGTGGCTCAGCGTAGAGAGATGGCGACTATCGAGGACCCACGAGGCAGTCCAATACCAGGAGACCCACCTAGTAGCAGCGACCTTGGTGGTATTTCGGAAAATCAGACGACACGTCTATAGATAACGTGTTTAAATAATTAATATACTAAAAATTTATCCTGTGCCAATGAAGACGATGTACTTGCAGGAAGTAAATTCTCGTTCGATCCGAGCCTGGATGACGGTGGATCACCTACCGGATCGAGACGTTCTCTAGCCGATACATCGGTTACTTCAACGGCAGACCTGTCGGTCTTTAGCTCAGCTACAAGATCTCAAGCCCTGGATAATAGTCTTGATACTCAGAGCAATTTATCCGTCGGCAGTTCTAATAGTGGAGGACTTCCTACGCCTCGTGCGACTCCCCATCATCCCAGTCCGGATATTGTTCGAATTTACGTACCTTACTCACCGCTATCACCGGCCTCTTACGAAGAGGATCTACAACGCACTCTTCCTCATGTTCTTGAGACAAATAAAATTCGAATAAAAATAGACCCCGATGAAACGCCAATTGTTGAAAATCTTAAACCGTTTTCTCTCGAGAGTCCTGAAGTTGAATTAGACTTGAAATAAATTAGACACTCGTTAATTAATTACACGAAAAAAACAAGATAACAGTAGATATAATCCAAGATTATAATCAATGATATCTGCAGTGAAAAAAAATTTTTAAATAGTAGCTAAAAAATATTCAGATTTTACCGCGTGATATCTGGATTATACTCATTGTAATCTAGAATATACTGTGTGATATCTAGATTGAATCCCGGAAAAAATAGACCCGTAAAAAATTTTTAAGTTATGAAAAATTTATATTATTTTGTTAAAATTATTATAAAATAAAAATTGTTATAATAATAATAATAATAATAATAATATTGGCAATAATAACAATCACATGATTGTTTAATTTGTCATTTATTAATTCCAACTACCTGCGACTTTTTCGTATTATTTTATGATTTTGGATGCGATAAAAAATGGAAATAATAATAATAATAATAATAATCATTATCATCATATATTTTTTTTTGTACCAAAAAATGGAGTGATCATTCTGGGGGTGCTTGTTTTTCAGGAAAATTTTGAGTGTGGTACAATTATTATTATTATTATTATAATTTTTATTTTATAATAAATTTAATGAAATAATATGGATTTTTCATAACTTTAAAATTTTTTCCCGGTCTATTTTTTCCGATTACCATCTGGATTATACTAGCTACTATCTAAAAATTTTTTTCACTCAATATAATCTGGGATGATATCCAGTGTCATCTTGTTCTTTCTGTGTAGGATTAATTTAAGTAATTACTTTAAAGCGCTCGTGAATTAAAAAAAAATTATTTTAATAAATACTCTCCATTTTTTTATTTAATTAATTAATGCTAATTGTAATTAGGAACAAATTATATTATTTTATTCAATTATTTGTTCCTTGAGTATTTTTATTAGTTATTACTATTACTATTATATATTTTTTTAAATAAAAATCTAAATATATCATAATAAATAGTTTTGAAATATTAATGATATATATTGTAAAATAAGACGAACGCCTATGGAAATTGTTCAACATGTAAAAATAGTTCGATCTGATAACGAAAAACTTATAGAATTGATTAATTTAAATAATAATAATAAAATTAATAAATAAAATCAGTTAGTGATTGAATAGACTACGACAGTATTGGAATAATAATAATAATTATTATTATTATTATTATTATTAATATTGATGATAATAAATTTAGCAATAGCTAACGACGTTAATATGTTAAGTGTCGGTAGCATGTAATTATTAAAAGTTAAAATATAAAATTAGCCAGTCGTATTTAAAATATTGTGAAAATAGTTATATGTATAAATAATATTCTGTTATTATAAGTATTATCTTTATAATTTTGTGACGACATAATTATTCAGTCATTATAAGTTTTTTTTATTTTATTAAGTACATTGTAACATGTGGCAATATATTTTCGAGAAACAAAATAATTTGAAAAGAAAAATATGAGATTTTATTTTTTTAATTAGTTGTGTTAATTTAGTTTGTAAAATAGTATAATTTAGGATAAGTTTTAATATTTATTTTTAAAAAATTGAAAAAACTCTGTTTTATCTGCAATGAGTAAAAACAAATTTTCAATTTCTGACGTGTTTAAAGATTTTTAGTCAGAAATATATATTCTTAACCTATTGAATTTTGTCAGTGTGTATATAATTATATTTATTTTACTTTTTAAAAAATAATTTTGAATATTTTAATTTAATAATTAGAAGGAGAAAAAAATTATTTTTTTTTTTTTTTTTGTGAAGGTTTTACTTACTATTTATAAAGTGAAGTTGAATTTTGGACAGTGTCAATTTTTATCAAAACTCAGTAATGATATTTACACGTGATTGCAGATTGTTGATGTTATTTTTTATGTAAATTCATTGAAGAAATATCAAAAAAAAAATTTTATTTACATAATTACTTGAAAAATTTATTTCTTAGGTATTTATAATCTAATGAAACTGAAATTTGAGTTTATTTTTTAACCAAACAGATAAACAAGTCTAAAACTTAGTACACAGCTGACATTCTTTTTATTAGTTAAAATGTAAACTTAAAAAAAATTTTAAGCGCAATTTTTAAAAGACATTTTTTAATTTAAATTTAATCAATGAAAAAAAGCAAAAAACGGCTAGCTTGAGTATTATAAATTAATATGACATTGGAATTAGTAGATAACTAACAATCTTGCAGTCACTATGTGACTGCCGTGGCTTTCAAACTATGAATAAATAAAATTTTGCTTTATTAGATCATGACTTTTGTTAAATTGCACTGTAATTTCTTAATTATTGATGATTTTAAGAATATAAGCTCATCCCGATGTTACACTCATCAAGAGCTTTCATTTGAGTACCCACATGCATTTTCATATATTTTTCATATATACATATATATAAATATATGAAATATATGAAAAATTGATGTGGGTACTCAAATGAAAGGTCTCGATGACTGTAACATCAAGATGAGCTTATATCTTTAAAAACGTCAATAGTTCTCAAGATACAAGGTCATTTCTTAATTATTGACATTTTTAAAGATATAAGCTCATCCCGATGTTACACACATCAAGAGCTTTCATTTGAGTACCCACATGCATTTTCATATATTTTTTATATATACATATATATAAATATATAAAATATATGAAAAATTGATGTGGGTACTCAAATGAAAGGTCTCAATGACTGTAACATCAAGATGAGCTTATATCTTTAAAAACGTCAATAGTTCGCAAGATACAAGGTCATTTCTTAATTATTTCTCTAGAAATAGAGCATTTTCGAGTACAACTTAATATATCATTAACATAGATTAACACTATTTAATTTGTTTTTAATATTAAACTATTTAAAATAATTACAATTTATTGAAGCTATTTAAAAACAAAAAAAATTATCAAGTGACAGCTAAATTATCATAATTATATTTTCAGATTTTCACTCTCCAAAATGCCTTTAAAAGAAGATCTAGCAATGACAGCAGCAATAAATCAAAACTGGAGAACAATCAACCGAAAGACTAAAAATTTAATCCGATTTCCCCCAACAAGTCCTGCAACTGAACCCAGTTCAGTCGAGCAGTCCCTAAAATTAGTAGACCAACTAATCTCCGAAGGCGTGAGCGTAAACTTCGCCACAGAATCCGGCGAGCTAGCTTTACACTCCGCGATAAACTCCAACAATTTTATCCTAGCCGAAAAACTAATAAGCTTAGGCGCAGACGTGAATCTAATGCGCTGTACCGACGGTGCGTTTCAAAATTGCACCCCATTGCACATCGCAGTAGAAAAAAGCAACACCGAAATGGTAAAATTACTCTTAAGGCATAACGCTAGCGTAAATGTCCAGCATGTGACTCCAGTGCTCACAAAAGCGGTCAGAAAAAAGAGCTTTGAGCTAGTGGAATTATTAATCAACGCCGGAGCAGATTTGAACCCGGACAATAAATTGGGCCAGCCTTTACACATGGCAATTGCTACTAACCATTACAACATGGTACAGTATCTAATCCAACGTGGTGCTGATGTAAATGGAATTTCAAGGAACAGAACTGCCCTAGAGACTGCAGTTAAAAGAGAACATACTGAAATAATTAAATTATTGCTGGAAAATGGAGCTAGGGTTCATGATTGCAAAGATGGGTACTCTGTTTTGTGCAGAGCTATTGAAAAAGATAATTTTAAAATTGTAGAATTGTTAATAAATGCTGGAGCTGATTTAAATCCTCCAGGGTGTTGCACAGCACCCTTGCTTTGGGCAATTACTCAAAAAAAGATCAAATTAATTGCTTTTTTAGTAAGCCGGAGTGCTAATGTAAATACTATTGGTCCAGTAGAAAAATATAATTTATTAAAAGGCAATTTTTCAGCACTGCAACTTGCTGTTATGATGGATGATATTAACATTGTTAAATTACTCCTAAAAAGTGGAGCGAATATGAATTTAATTATTGATAATGACGCTTTTGCTGATGATAGCTTGACGGTAATTCATTATGCAATTGAATTTAAATATGAAGAAGAATTAAAATTGTTTTTAAATAATCAAGAGATTGATGTTAATGCTAGGACAAAAATTAAACATGAATCTCTTTTGCATTATGCGGTTAAATTTTTAAAGAAAAAAGAATTAATTGTTAAATTACTTGAAGTGGGTGCTGATATTAATTACCAGGATAGTTTTGGGAAATTACCGATTGATAATGTTGACTGTGATGATAAATTTGGGTTTAAAGTTATTCTTGAACAACATATTTTGAAATTACTAGGGGCTAATTTGTATGTCTCGAAGAAAAATTTGAAGGCTATTGAAAAAAAAATTAATTATCAAGTTTACTTGGCTAATTGTCAAGAAGAAATCAAGAAGTTGAAGGAAATTAAGTTTTATAATACCTCGCATACGCTTTATGATTTTCTGGTGAAGAATGTTCATGAGATGAGCTTCATTTTGGTTAACATGAAAGATGTTAGTTGTACTAATGAAAAATATCTGAGAGGTAATTTTAAGATTTATGGAGGAATTCTTTTTAATAGAATTAAGAAAACTTTTATTAGGAAATTTTATTTGGAAAAATCTTATGATTTTATTTATGTTATTTTGAGGAAGAAAATTCCGGATTTGATTATTAAAAAAGTTTGCGGGTATTTGACGATTCAGGATTTGAAACGTTGTTCTAATTTTAAATAATTTTAGTAATACTGTTTTGAAAAAAACAATTATTTCTTCTTAAAAAATGTCATTTTTTATTTCATAAAAAATAATTAATTTTTTTAAGATAAATTTTGTTATTAAAAAAATTTAAAGACACAAGATTTAAAACGTTCAAATTGTAAATAATTTAAATATTATTTTGAAAAAAAAAATTATTTCTTCTTAAAATATGTCATTTTTTATTTCATAAGAAATTGTTTTTATTAGAAATAATTATTAATTTTTTTTCAGATAATTTATTTGATGAAAATTAAGTTGTGAAGTAATTATAGTAAATATGGGCTTTTTTTTTATGTAATTGAACAATTTTTAAAAATAAAAATTCATGAGATGAGATTTATTTTAGTAAATATGCGTGATGTTTGTTGTACAAATGTTGTAAAAAATTAAAGATTTAATTATTAAAAAAATTTTTGGATATTTAAAAACTCAAGATTTAAAACGTTGTTCAAATTGTAAATAATTTAAATAATATTTTGAAAAAAAAAATTATTTCTTCTTAAAATATGTCATTTTTTATTTCATAAGAAATTGTTTTTATTAGAAATAATTATTAATTTTTTTTCAGATAATTTATTTGATGAAAATTAAGTTGTGAAGTAATTATAGTAAATATGGGCTTTTTTTTTATGTAATTGAACAATTTTTAAAAATAAAAATTCATGAGATGAGATTTATTTTAGTAAATATGCGTGATGTTTGTTGTACAAATGTTGTAAAAAATTAAAGATTTAATTATTAAAAAAATTTTTGGATATTTAAAAACTCAAGATTTAAAACGTTGTTCAAATTGTAAATAATTTAAATAATATTTTGGTAAAAAAAAAATCATTTCTTCTTAAAAAATGTAATTTTTAATTACATAAAAAATAGTTATTAATTTTTTTAAATAAATTATGTTATAAAAATTAAGTTATTAAAAAAATTTGAGGATATTTAACAACTTAACGATTAAAATGTTGTTCAAATTGTAAATTATTTTAATATTATTATTTTGTAAAAAAAAAAATTATTTCTTCTTAAAAAATGTCATTTTTTATTTCATAAAAATTATTATTAAATTTTTTTAGATAATTTATGTGATAAAAATTAAATTGTAAAGTAATTTTGGTAATAATGGAGAAGCTTTTTTGTATAAGTGAATTATTTTTAAAGACTAAGCTGGTAATATAGAAAGAAATTATTTTCAATAAATTAAAAAGAAGCTTTTATTAGAAAATATTATTTAGAAAAAACTTATGAGCTTATTTATTATAAAAAAATTAAAAAAAAATTTGTAGATATTTAAAACGTTAAGATTTAAAGAAATGTTCATATTATAAATAATTTAAATTAAATTGTTGGAAAAAAAATTATTTCTTCATAAAAAAAAGTAATTTTTAATTTCATAAAAAATTTTTTTTATCAAGAATAGTTATTAATTTTTTTTTAGATAAATTATGTAATAAAAATTAAGTTATGGAGTAAGAAACTAGCGCGCATGCGTTGATTGTTATATATATATATATCAAGACCTTACGTTTGCATTACAATTATATTTTAGCTTCTGCTTTGGTTACTTCTGAATCGAACTTTCGATTTGGAGACTTTTGACCATTATAATAGTTTCTGGTAATATTTTAACAAACTTTTTCGAGTAGTTTCGGAATCTTCTCGGTTTGTTCTGTAGCAGTGAGTTGAAATAAAATTTTAGTTGTGCTTTATCTGTGCCATAGGGTGGCTGTGGGACGACCTTTCTGTTGGACTTTGGAGAGAGGTTAATTTATTGGTCGAACTAAAGCACGTGGAAACGTTTCGCTCACGTCAGGTAACTATCAACAAATTTTTTTTTTTCATTTTTTACTGAAGAAGGTTATTTTATTTGATTTATTGGTTTAATTGGTGAGTTTTTTTTAGTGAAAAAAATTATTTTTGTGATTTTAGATAAATTTTAAATAATTTTGAAGATATTTTTTTTTGGAGTAAATTATTAGCTTCGTATTAGCTTCTCCAATTTTGATAAAAATAATTAGATCATTATTATTTTATCTGTTCATTTAGTTTTTTTTTTTTTTTTTTTTTTATTAAATATTTAAAATTTATACTAAATATCTAGAAATTAATGCTACGTTTTTTTTCTTCTTTAATTATATAAATAATTTTTAATTTAAATTCAACAAAAATATAAATTTTAAACATTTAAAAATTAATTTTTTTTTCTAAATAATTTTATAAAAAATCATCTTCAAAAAATTATATTCTTCTTGCATTTATAAATCTGTGCTGTTATTTTTAAGAAGAAATTTATTTTTATTTATAAAATCATGAATATTCATTTTTTTTTTTTTTTTTTTTTTTTAGTGGAAAAATCTCAGGATTAAATAAATTAATTTATTTAATCATTAGGAAGATATTAAATATAAATCATGAGTCATTGGTTAATAACTTATGAAATATCATGGGGTAATTAGTTAAAAAATAAAATAACTCTGTAATTAAGGAATCACCTTGTATCTTGCGAACTCTTGACATTTTTAAAGATATAAGCTCATCCTGATGTTACACTCATCAAAACCTTTCATTTGAGTACCCACATCAATTTATCATATATTTTATATATTTATATATATTATATATATATGTATATATGAAAAATATATGAAAAATGCATGTGGGTACTCAAATGAAAGCTCTTAATGAGTGTAACATCAAGATGAGCTTACATCTTTAAAAATATCAATAATTAAGAAATGACTTTGTATTTTCTTTAATATTGACATCTTTGATGATATAAGCTCATCCTGACGTTACACTCATCGAGACCTTTCATTTGAGTACCCACATCAACTTTTCATATATTTTATATATTATATATATGTATATATGAAAAATATATCAAAAATGCATGTTGGTACTCAAATGAAAGCTCTTGATGAGTGTAACATCAAGATGAGCTTATACCTTAAAAAACGTCCATATTTAAGAAAATACATTACAATTTTCTAAAAATCATTATTCAAACAGCAAAATTTTATTTATCTATGGTTCATAACTACAAGGTTGCTAAGTTATTCTCATTATAATAAAAATCTAATAAATAAAAAATTGTTTCAGATCTCGTAAATCAACTCCCAAAATTGATCACCATGATGGTAAAAAAGTACTCTCAAGGTAAGAATTCAAAATTCGGGCGTTACAGTAAAAAGAAGGACAAAAAGTATTTCTTCAAGAAGAAAAATCCAAAAAAACGCGTTAACCCATTGGTGGTACAAAAAGCAATAGAATGTCCTTGGATCACTTCAATCCGCCGATTTCTTCAGACAAGTATGGACGTGAACTTACTAAACTTAACGGAGCCTCTACTTCACACAGCGGTCCGCATCTCCAAGTACACAATGGTCCAACAATTACTAGCCGCCGGAGCAGATCCCAATGACGTACCAAAATTAGGTGACTGTGGTCACCCTCCTAAATTTTTGGTTCCCAGTCCCAAGATCCAGTGTCCTTGTCCACCATTGATAATCGCAGTGGATAGAGGCAACGAGAAGATGGCCAAGTTGCTGATTCAAAACAAAGCCGATCCTAACATCGTATCTTGCTACGGTTCAGCTTTGAATATTGCTGTGGAGAAAGGTATTTTCAAAATAGTTAAATTATTATTAAGAGCTGGGGCTGATATTAACGGCGGCTTGAACGAGTGCAAGCCGTTGCACACAGCTATCAGCAAGAATAATTATATAATGGTTAAATATTTAATTAAGTGGAATGCAGATGTTAATATTGTTGGTAAACATATTTATGAAAAAGAATTGACGCCTTTGCAAATGGCTATTTTAAAGGAAAATTTAAAAATTGTTAAATTGTTAACAAACAACAAAGCTAAAATCGACAGAACAATTTTACATTATTCTCTTAATACAAATAATCTCGATATAATTTCCTTTTGCGCTATCAATAGCGTTGATGTTAATGCAGTCAATTCTTACGGAGAGTCAGCTCTTCATATTGCTTGTCAAAAAAAGTGCATTGAAGTGATATATATTTTACTGGACGCGGGAGCTAATATTAATATTAAAGACAAAAGGAAGAAAACTGCCCTAGATTTTTGCTTTGATTATTCCGGACATATTTTAGTCGCATTAAAGCAACATATTGTTAGAATTAAAACCGCTGGCATGTTCATTTCTCAGGATGTTATGCAGCAATTCAATCAATTACGTCCAAATAATTTTTCTTCTCCAATTTATAATGATGTTACAATTGACTATGATGGTCTTCAGAGGAGGTGTTTAAGCGAGCTTGAAGTCATGAAGAATATAATTGTGAAGAATACCAGCATCAGCTTCTTTCAAATTCTACAACTTAATCAACATCAACTGGCTCTACTTCTTCTGGACACTGTTTATGAGGACGCAATCAGTGAAGATAGTTTACGGCTTAAGTTTCCGATCTATGGAGGCATGATTTTTTATAGATTGAGCAGGGCATTTAATGAAAAAAAATCTCTTGTTATTGTTAATGATAAACTTGATCAAATGTTCAATCAAGAACTCCCGGAGTTGATCAAAAGAAATATTTATGGGTACTTTAATTATGGAGAGTTAACTATGTTGTCTAAATTGTAATCTCGAGGATATTGCTGTGAATAGTATTAAATTTTATGTACAAATATAATTTTTTTTTTTAATAAGTTGACTGATTTTTATTTATGAATTGTAAAGAAATTTTTTAGGAATTACTTTTTTAAAAATTGTAATGTTTCACTTTGAGTGATTTGAACTTATTTATTTGTGAATTAGTAAAAATAATGTTTGTTGTAGTTAATTTATGTAATATGTAGTTACTTCCAAGAATATTAATTTTTTTAATTAAATTAATCAATGCGTAGCAGTGCTTGCAATAATAGTTTTATTTAATTATATTTTATCAATATATCTAGTTGTTTAAGAATTGTAATTTTAAGAAATTTGTGATATTATTAAGTATATTAATTTAAATAAAAGTAAATATACCAAGCTAAAGAAAGTTTTTTTTTTATTTTCTAATTACTTTTTTATTTTTAAATTATAATACTGAAATTAAGAGACTATTATAATAAAATAAATAATTAAATTAGCCGACACTTGAAAATTTTTGATTTTCTTTTTTTAATTAAAAATTAAAACTAAAAAACTATTTTTAAAAAATTCCACGGATAATTTTTAAAATTTTCTACACGTAAAAATTTTTTTTTTTAAATTATTTTTCAATAAAATAAATTATCAAAATTTTTAAATATCGGCTAATTTAATTTTCAATAATGATAAAGTTAGCCGACGTTGTTAATTTTTTGATTTTTTTTTATTTATTAAATTACAATTAAAAAATATTTTTTTAAAATTGCACTTATAGTTTTTAAAATTTTTTTTTTTTCATTTTTCTGTGATAATTATTTCAATAAAAAAAAATTATAAAAATTTTTAGATGTCGGCTAATTTAATTTTCATTATAATAAATAATAGCAAGAAAAATTTATTAAAAAAAATTCATCTTTAGAAACTCTAAAAAATTTAATTTGTAAAAAACAATAAGTGCAATTTTTAAAAAATATTTTTTAATTATGACATTAAAGTTAGCAGTCACTTGAAAAATTTTATAATTTTTTTTTATCAAACACATTTGTTCCAGAAAATAATTTTAAAAAAATTGCAATGTTAATTTTTTAAAGTTTCTTTTTAAATATCTGTCATTTCACTTGTTTGTTTTATGATTTGTCTAATTTCATAGATATCTTATTTTTAAATTTTATAATTTTATGCTTATCTTTATTAAAATAATTCCAATTTTTTTGGTAACTAAATTTTTACATTGCTACCTTTATTATTATCGATATTTTTAATTATCCTTATTTAGAAAAATAATTTTTTTATTATTTCTAATATAATATTTATATTAACTTTTTACTTAGTGATTTCTTTCTTTAGAGTTGGCCAAATTTTGATGTTTCCATTTTTCGTAAAATTCTTGACCGGTACGAATCATTGAAAGGCATTGTACTATCAAATATTAACAGTCTTTTGTATAAATAAAAAAACACCGGTTTCTTTACTTATTATTATTAACTTTCAATAGCCGAATAGTTAGACGTATCTTTATTGTTTATCGAATAAGGAATGTACTCCCCATCATTATCCTGAAATTAAAATTCAAGGGTTTAGCTTAAAAAATTGTAAAAAAAAATTTTTATGAAGATTCATACCGTGCTGACAATAATTTGTTGACTATCATCGAGATTAAGGCCTTCAACTTCTTCCTTGGTTAGAATTATAATAGACTCTTCGACGTTATTTTCATCTATGTACGTCATTGGAATATCCGAAGAGTCCTGAGGAATGATTAAATAATTTTTAATAATTAAATATTTAGATAATTTTTAATAATTAAATAATTAGATAATTTTTAATAGAACAATTAGTGAAAAATTAAATTCTTTATTGTAATCTCTTTTGGAGTTCTCACGTTTGCGTTTTATCTTGTTACCTTTGTCCTTTTTTGGTTTAACTTCTTCTTTAACAGTACTCATATCTACTTCTCCAACATATGTAATATCTTCAGCCTCATAATTTTCATTTTCAATTTCCCAAGTATTTTCTACGACTTCATTAGACACATCCAAAGAATCTATCAATTGATATTCATCTTTATTTGTAAAATCAAAGTCTGCTGACTGAAACTGATTAAAAAAATTAATTGTTTGATTTAAAAAAATTTAGGTAGCAATTAAATTATTATAAAAAAAATTCCACATGTGAAGATTTTAAAAAATTATTTGTGAAATTTTTAGAAGCATTTTTAAAATTTTAATTGACTTAGTATCATGAAAATTAAGTTAGCCGAAAATTAAAAATTTTTAGAATTTTTTCAATTAAAAAAATGATTACAAAACAAAAATTTTAAAAACTATAAGTCCAATTTTTCAGTTTTAATTTAATAAATGAAAAAAAAAAATCAAAAATGCCGACTAACTTTAGTATTTTTTAAATAATTCTTAAATTAAGAAACATCTGATAATTTTTAGAATTTTTTTAACAAATAAATTAAAGGAAGAAAAATTTATTTAAAAAATTCAATATTTATAAGCTGAAAAAAACTATAAATTCAATTTTTTTAAAATAATTTTCTAGGCTTAATTTATATAAAAAAAAAAAAATTGTCGTATCTGCTAAATTTAGTGTAATTAAAATTATTGTTATTATATTAATATATTGTATTATTATATTATTATTATTATTTTTATTATTGATGATGATGCCAAAGCTCCGATAATTCCGTGAAGAATTTTAAGTATGCTTCGATGCTTTTCTAAGAATTTTTTCGCTATGTTTTCATACTGAAAGATTTTCTTTGTTGTCAACAGCCAATGAATATCTTTGAAAAAATTTGCTATCCCTTCTACTTCTCCTCATTAGAAGAGCATAAAAGCAAGGGACACATCTTCTATGGCCAAATTAGTAATCATGACGTTCAACCCTGAAATGTATGTAAAGCCCAAAGTGTGGTTTCCTTGCGAAACATGTCAATTAAAAGTACGAGACGACTTCTATCAATCATCTGTTTTATTTTATCAGTTTAGTGAAGATGATAAGATAATTATTCGTTTTAAAAGTCAGCTGAAATTAATAAAAGAGAAGAAATTCATCGTAATTTCTGTCTGTAAAATTATAAAACCAGGACATTACACCAACCAAAAATTTATAGCGACATGGAGTATGACCATCAACAATGCTGAGACAATTGATTGTCAGCATTTTTACGAAGTAAGGGAGCAATTTTTTTATATTAAAAATTATAACAAAAAATTTTTTTATTTGAAAAACTAAAAGTGCAATTTTTTATAAATATTTTTTAGTCTTAATTGAATAAATAAAAAAAAAAAATCAAAATACAATGAATGTCATTAAAATTAACAGTCACTAGAATATTTATTAATTTTATTTAACAAACAAATTTATTCCGAAAAATTATTTAAAAAAATTTCATTTTTAATTTATTAAAATTTTTACTTGTCAATTTTTTTTTTGCCATAATTTATTTGTTACTAAAATTAATAAGTAACTGCTAAATTAATTTTTATAATATATTTTATAAAATAAATTACCTGAAACTCCAAAAAAACTTTGGTAAGATTTTCTGATTCTTTGAAAACTGGCTCCATTATAAACAATTAAATTAAACAAAATTAAAAATAAATAACTGAGCAACAAATAATATAAAAAGTTTAAATATAAATAATCTAAATAACTTACACACAGGTGCAAGAGCAAATTGGTCAAGACGACTTCCCTTTAATGTTCGTACCCGTGTGGTACTTAACACGGAATTATGGTCCAGATGATAAATACACAATCAACATTGAAGTGGAGAAGAAGCCCCCAGGCACAGATTGAAGAAAAGTTGTAAGATGTTTTTTATTAAAATTTTTCATGTTTATTTTTTAGTAAGTGTTCGTGCAAATTTATTAAATTCGTGATATGTTTTATTTTATAGACTGAAAACAAGAAGCCTTGGATTTCTGATTAGAAATTGGAATCAGAAATTTAGATTGTAAAATCAAAAATGATTAGAATAAATTAAAAAATTAAAAATTTAATTTAAATTGATGAGTTAAAAGATTATGTTTAAGTTAAAATTTCTATTTAGATTATATATAAAAGATTTTTTTTCATCATTATTTTTTTTTTGAAAAAGTGTAATTTTTTTTATAATTATTATAAATTGTTTTTTTTTTTTTTTTAAGAAATTAAAAATAAAAATAAATGTAATTTTTAAAAAGAAAATGAGAAATTCCTAACTCTGAAAATCCTAATTTCAATTCACGGATTTATCCGTGCTGGTAATTTAGCACTCGCTAGCTTTCCTTCATTTTTGTGGCTGTCATGCTGCAAGTCTAGGGCAGTTTTTAATTCGTTTTGTAACATGGCATATTTTCTCGTAGCCTTTATTAACTTTTCGGTAATAAATTTTTATTTATTTAGACGATAAAAACTTGTTATAAATTTATACTAAAATTTAGATACATCTAATAATTTTTAGAATTTTTTTTAATAAATAAATTATAGCAAGAAAAATTCATTAAAAAAATTTTATCTTTAGAAGATCTAAAAAATTCTAAATACAATTACTAAAAAATAATTCTTTAATGAAGCGATAACTGAATAAAATGTGTTAATTGTTTTTTAATTCACGATCACAAAACGTAAAAAAAAAAATACATCAAAGGAAGCAAAGTGTCGTGATATAACCTCTGGTTCCACACTCTCTGCAGACGGCGCTTCTTCAACGACTGGCGTAGAGCATAGCTTTCATTTCCTATTAATTATTAATTAAATGTGAGCTGATAGATGCTCTGCAAACTTCATTTTTTATTTCTATATATAACTTTCAGTCACCTAAAAAGAAATTAATTAATTTAAAAATACACTTAGGTTAAAAATTATCCAACGATGCTATACTCACCATCAAAAGATTAGAAGAGATAAAAACAATTTATATTTATAATCTCTGGTGTTCATTCACAGTAAAGCGAGGTTATGTTATTAAGTTGTCAAAATAAATATTTATAGTCTTAAAATAAACAAAGACTCCAGTGCAATGCAATATTGTTGAAATAAAACACTGCTTGACAATGAGAGCAAGAGCAAGAGCAAGTACTGTTACTCAAACATTTAATAGTTTAAAGTTATATTTATATTCCTGTTAACGATTTTTAACAAGATCTTGAGGCAAAGAATCCAAGATAGGATAAAAAATTGTTTTTTTTTTCGGCCATTTTCTGAAATTTTAATTTCTAGAATGATCTAATTAAATTTTTTAATTTTCTAGAATTGATTTAAACGATGGAGCTTTGAAGAATTTCTACGAAGAAGCCAAAGATTTATCATTCGTTGAGCGCGGTGAATTATTAATGAAGGAAACCAATGAAATAATTGATGCTCACAAACAATTAGCTAAAGAAGGACAAACTCAAGCACCTCCAGAAGACGAGCCAGTTGTTCATCACTTCGTAACGTTTGTTGGTTAAAAAGATGGAACACTTTACGAGCTTGGTAATTATTAATTATATATTTATTTCATAAACTACTACTGAAAAATTTAATTTAAAATAAATTTGAAGGACAATTATTTATATAAATACTTACCATAAATTTTAACAATTATTCTTGATCAGATGGATGCAAGTCAGCGCCAATCAACCATGGTCCAACAACCAAAGAAGCTATTCTGGATAACGCTGCTAAAGTTTGCAAATAATACATGGCTCGTGATTCTGGAGAAGTTCATTTTACAATAATGGCTTTGTTAGCCAATTAATTAAATAAAAATAAAAATTGCCTCCCGAATTAATTATTGATTTAATCAATATATATTTAATTTTACGCCTAAAAATGAAATGCAGATGCACAATATTTATAACTGCTATGAGTGTGATAAAAATTTTTGCTACTTAAGCCAAAAGATTGTACTACAAAATAAATTTTGCAAACCAGAAAAATAGGTGAATTTTTTTTTACTAATAAATATTTTATTTGCATTATATACTATCAAATATTAACAGTCTTTTGTATAAATAAAAAAATACCGGTTTCTTTACTTATTATTAACTTTCAATAGCCGAATAGTTAGACGTATCTTTAATGTTTATCGAATAAGGAATGTACTCCCCATCATTATCCTTAAATTAAAATTCAAGGGTTTAGCTTAAAAAATTGTAAAAAAAAAATTTTTATAAAGATTCATACCGTGCTGATAATAATTTGTTGACTATCATCAAGATTAAGGCCTTCAACTTCTTCCTTGGTTAGAATTATAATAGACTCGTCGACGTTATTTTCATCTATGTACGTCATTGGAATATCCGAAGAGTCCTGAGGAATGATTAAATAATTTTTAATAATTAAATATTTAAATAATTTTTGATAATTAAATAATTTAATAATTTTTAATAATCAAATATTTAGATAATTTTTAATAATTAAATAATTAGATAATTTTTAATGGAACAATTAGTAAAAAATTAAATTCTTTATTGTAATCTCTTTTGGAGTTCTTACGTTTGCGTTTTATCTTGTTACCTTTTTCCTTTTTTGGTTTAACTTCTTCTTCCTTAACAGTACTCATATCTACTTCTCCAACATATGTAATATCTTCAGCCTCATAATTTTCATTTTCGATTTCCCAAGTATTTTCTACGACTTCATTAGACACATCCAAAGAATCTATCAATTGATATTCATCTTCATTTGTAAAATCAAAGTCTGCTGTCTGAAACTGTGATTAAAAAAATCAATTGTTTGATTTAAAAAAATTTAGGTAGCAATTAAATTATTATAAAAAAAGTTCCACATGTGAAGATTTTAAAAAATTATTTGTGAAGTTTTTAGAAGCATTTTTAAAATTTTTATTGACTTGTTATAAGAATTAAAAAAATTGACAGCTAATTTTAGTATCATGAAAATTAAGTTAGCCGAAAATTAAAAATTTTTAGAATTTTTTCAATTGAAAAAATGATTTCAAAACAAAAATTTTAAAAACTATAAGTCCAATTTTTCAGTTTTAATTTAATAAATGAAAAAAAAAATCAAAAATGCCGACTAACTTTAGTATTTTTTAAATAATTCTTAAATTAAGAAACATCTGATAATTTTTAGAATTTTTTTAACAAATAAATTAAAGGAAGAAAAATTTATTTAAAAAATTCAATATTTATAAGCTGAAAAAAAAAACTATAAATTCAATTTTTTTACATAATTCTCTAGGCTTAATTTATATAAAAAAAAAAAAAAAAATTGTCGTGTCTGCTAAATTTAGTGTAATTAAAATTATTGTTATTATATTAATATATTGTATTATTATATTATTATTATTATTTTTATTTTTATTATTGATGATGATGCCAAAGCTCCGATAATTCCGTGAAGAATTTTAAGTGTGCTTCGATGCTTTTCTAAGAATTTTTTCGCTATGTTTTCATACTGAAAGATTTTCTTTGTTGTCAACAGCCAATGAATATCTTTGAAAAAATTTGCTATCCCTTCTACTTCTCCTCATTAGAAGAGCATAAAAGCAAGGGACACGTCTTCTACGGCCAAATTACGGCTAAATCATGGCGTTTAATACGGATATGTATGTTACAACCGACGTGTGGTTTCCTTTCAAAATAGAAGAAATAGAAGTACAAGAGGAGTTCTATGAATCACGTTCTTCATTTTACGAGTTCAGTGAAGATAAAAATATAATTATAAGTTTTAAAAGTGAATTGATATTAATTGACGAAAAGAAATTCATCTTAATTTCTGTCTGTAAAATTATACCACGAGGATATCACACCAACCAAAAATTTATAGCGACATGGAATATGACCATCAACAATGCTGAGACAATTGATTGTCAGCATTTTTACGAAGTAAGGGAGCAATTTTTTTATATTAAAAATTATAACAAAAAATTTTTTTATTTGAAAAACTAAAAGTGCAATTTTTTATAAATATTTTTTAGTCTTAATTGAATAAATTAAAAAAAAAAATCAAAATACAATGAATGTCATTAAAATTAACAGTCACTAGAAGATTTATTAATTTTATTTAACAAACAAATTTATTCCGAAAAATTATTTAAAAAAATTTCATTTTTAATTTATTAAAATTTTTACTTGTCAATTTTTTTTTGCCATAATTTATTTGTTACTAAAATTAATAAGTAACTGCTAAATTAATTTTTATAATATATTTTATAAAATAAATTACCTGAAACTCCAAAAAAACTTTGGTAAGATTTTCTGATTCTTTGAAAACTGGCTCCATCTTAAACAATTAAATTAAACAAAATTAAAAATAAATAACTGAGCAACAAATAATATAAAAAGTTTAAGTATAAATAATCTAAATAACTTACACACAGGTGCAAGAGCAAATTGCTCTAGACGACTTCCCTTTAATGTTCGTACCCGTGTGGTACTTAACACGGAATTATGGTCCAGATGATAAATACACAATCAACATTGAAGTGGAGAAGAAGCCTCCAGGCACAGATTGAAGAAAAGTTGTAAGATGTTTTTTATTAAAATTTTTCATGTTTATTTTTTAGTAAGTGTTCGTGCAAATTTATTAAATTCGTGATATGTTTTATTTTATAGACTGAAAACAAGAAGCCTTGGATTTCTGATTAGAAATTGGAATCAGAAATTTAGATTGTAAAATCAAAAATGATTAGAATAAATTAAAAAATTAAAAATTTAATTTAAATTGATGAGTTAAAAGATTATATTTAAGTTAAAATTTCTATTTAGATTATACATAAAAGATTTTTTTTCATCATTATTTTTTTTTTAAAAAAGTGTAATTTTTTTTATAATTATTATAAATTGTTTTTTTTTTTTTTTAAGAAATTAAAAATAAAAATAAATGTAATTTTTAAAAAGAAAATGAGAAATTCCTAACTCTGAAAATCCTAATTTCAATTCACGGATTTATCCGTGCTGGTAATTTAGCACTCGCTAGCTTTCCTTCATTTTTGTGGCTGTCATGCTGCAAGTCTAGGGCAGTTTTTAATTCGTTTTGTAACATGGCATATTTTCTCGTAGCCTTTATTAACTTTTCGGTAATAAATTTTAATTTATTTAGACGATAAAAACTTGTTATAAATTTATACTAAAATTTAGATACATCTAATAATTTTTAGAATTTTTTTTAATAAATAAATTATAGCAAGAAAAATTCATTAAAAAAATTTTATCTTTAGAAGATCTAAAAAATTCTAAATACAATTACTAAAAAATAATTCTTTAATGAAGCGATAACTGAATAAAATGTGTTAATTATTTTTTAATTCACGATCACAAAACGTAAAAAAAAAACTTCATCAAAGGAAGCAAAGTGTCGTGATATAACCTCTGGTTCCACACTCTCTGCAGACGGCGCTTCTTCAACGACTGGCGTAGAGCATAGCTTTCATTTCCTATTAATTATTAATTAAATGTGAGCTGATAGATGCTCTGCAAACTTCATTTTTTATTTCTATATATAACTTTCAGTCACCTAAAAAGAAATTAATTAATTTAAAAATACACTTAGGTTAAAAATTATCCAACGATGCTATACTCACCATCAAAAGATTAGAAGAGATAAAAACAATTTATATTTATAATCTCTGGTGTTCATTCACAGTAAAGCGAGGTTATGTTATTAAGTTGTCAAAATAAATATTTATAGTCTTAAAATAAACAAAGACTCCAGTGCAATGCAATATTGTTGAAATAAAACACTGCTTGACAATGAGAGCAAGAGCAAGAGCAAGTACTGTTACTCAAACATTTAATAGTTTAAAGTTATATTTATATTCCTGTTAACGATTTTTAACAAGATCTTGAGGCAAAGAATCCAAGATAGGATAAAAAATTGTTTTTTTTTTCGGCCATTTTCTGAAATTGTGTTTTAATAGTATATTGTGTGACTAGGGATGAAACAAAACGATTTCAGACCAGAGTGAAGTTGCCTGCCCGAGCGAAGCGAGGGCTGGCATCACTCGGTCTGAAATCGTGTTTCATCCCGCGTCACACATTATATTTTTCATATAAGTTGCATTAGAAATGCTAGTTCAATGTCTGGAGCCAACCGGAACTAGGTAGTTTCAGACGAATAGCGAAAATACCATTTTATTATAAAATTTATAATAAAATAGAAAGTAATAGTTTATTTGTTATCAATCATTATTCGTAAATTGAATAGTTTTATTTTTTTTGTCATTCTTATTTATGCTTAATAACAGAATTATAACATGTCAGTACAGTTAATGGTTAGAATGAGAATTATAAAGGTATAAAATAAACAAACAATTGATAGGATTGAAAATAAAGCTGCAACTTCATCTCGCGGGCAGTAATTCGTCATTTTCTGTCCGCCGGGAAGTAATAATTGATTACTGCCCGGCACAGTCGCATTGGTCTGAAATTGTCTAGTTTCAGTTGGCTCAACAGGCATTGAAACTCGCATTTTCAATGCAGGTTATATGAAATAGTATTTTTCTTACCTGGGGCAGGAAAATAAGAAATGTCTCAGATTACACGTAATTGTTGACCGAGGCGAAGCCGAGGTCGACAAACATGTGATCTGAGGCATTCTTATTTCCTGCCCGTGGTGAGAATACTATTTTTCTCCTCGACAGAGGCGGAAAGCGGCATTTTCGTTTAGCGCAGTGAGCAGAAAATTGACGCTTTCCGCACGATGGGGAGAAAAATAATTATACTGATTATTATTATTAAAAATACAAAACATATAAGTCATCGAATTTTTAATTGAAATGTATTTAAAATAAAAAAAAATCATTTCTTTAATTAAAATAAAAAATAATACAATTAATTTTTAAATAAATTTACATGAAATTTTAATTAAAAAAAAAATAAATAAACAAACATTGTAATTTTTTACGATTGAAAAAGAAAATAAAAATAAATAAATAAGTAAAAATATTAACATCTGTTTGATACTTACACTAAATATTTTTTCTTCTAAAAAAATGTAAAAAATCTATAAAAAAAAAAAAAGAAATCAAGACCGAGTTAGGCAATTAGGAACATATAAAACCCATAAGTGCACATGTAGTCACACTGATAGAATACATGGAAATAAATCTAAATTGTACATCAGAGTGTACAGTTGTTAACTCCAGTTATATATATTAGGATTCACCAAAATGCATTCATTTTAATTTGTCACTTTAATATATATTGGCTTTAATGGCTTTAATCTTTAATTACTGTAAAAAAGTTTAAAAAGTTTACGCGGATAGACCACTGGGGCTTTTCGGTTTTTGTAACCTCATGGAAGATGTCGCTTATGTCGAATAGAAGGTGCCACGTCATCACTATTTTACGTTAAAAACTTGCATCAAGCCATCAAGCGTCAGTAAAAACGAATTAACATCTAAATATATGTATAATACAGTTAGTTGAAAAGCTTATTATCGCATTTTGATGAAAGTTATTAAATAATTATGGAATAGTAATTTAATTACAATAAATAAAATATTTAATTTTTGAGCTACTAAATTGATAAAAAAATTGTACTACGTCGTTAAACAAATAATAACATCCTATAAGATTTTTATAATAACAATTAAATATGAGCATACCACTGAAGAAACGGACAGACTTCATAAAAAAAATAGAGGTTTGGACAGTTCCCAACTTTAGTTCATGTCTTCTTGCGGAAAGCAAACTTGAAGATTCTCATCCTGAATTCAAAGCTGGGTTTGACAACAATTTTCATCATGAATTCAAAGCTGGGTTCAATGATAATGACAAATGGCTCGTTAGTGTAACCCTAAAAACCAGACCAGCTAGTCGGTTTAAAAAGTCTATTAGTGTTAAAGTAGATCCGGTAAATCCTAGTGAAATAAAACATCCAATTTATGCGTCAGTGTTAGCTGTTGGCCATTATAATTATCGTTTTCAAGTGTATTCAAAAATACGTCAACCGGATGTAAATTATGACAGTAAGGATTATCGTAACAGAGAGCATAGTATGGCATTTGGATTTCATATCGACCAGTCACCTCCATATGGGAGTCTTTATTTTGTGAATGGTACGCTGACACTGGAGATAGAAATTAACACCTACAGGGATAAAGATACATGCTTTCCTACTCATCCTCACCCAGTAGAACGTATAGACAGTCGTGTACCTGACTCACTCTTGGAATTGTACCAAACCAGGAATGATAATGGTGATGTTATTATAAAAGTTCAGAATAATGAATTTAAAATTCATAAAAATGTATTGGAGACTCGATGTCCTGTACTAAATGAACTGATTGGCGACAGTAATCTACTAGCTCTTGAGGATATTAACCCTAAAGTATTTGAGATGGTAGTAGAATATCTCTATACAGGATACGTCCTTAATACTAATGATCAACTTGTTGACAATGCTGAATGCTTATTAGAAGCTGGCCATCGATTTAAATTAGAATCTCTAAAAAATATCTGCATAAGACCTTTGACTGAGTATTACATCGTAAAAGATAATTTAGTCGATGCTAAAATTTTAGCAATTCGCTGCAAATCGGTAGCTTTGAGTTTGTACCTTTGGGATTTACACGTATTTAATTCTAAACATAAATTTCGATACTCGAAGGAAAACATGCCGTCTGACTATGAACTATGGAGAAGGGGCACAATTCTAGGGGGACATCTTATGTATCTGGGGGAGGAGTGAGTTAACATCTTTTATCCACTCATTTTCGATTCACTGTATTTTTTAATCATTTTTTTTTTATATTTTATATTTTTTCTATTTTTTTTTTTTTAGAGTAAAGAAACGAGGTTTTGATCCGCAGGATTTATTAGAAGAAAAATAAAAATTATAATAGATTCGTAGATATTGATATTAATGATGAAAAAGAAGAACTACTTGGTATTTGGACCAGAAATAAGTAGTGTATTTATATAAAGTTTGTAATTCAACAATAATTTTTTGTAAGTTTAAATAAACTCTTGATATGGAAAATTTAAAATAAATTGCTGTCATTTTTTTTTCACTCTTAGAGCCTTTAAAAGATAATTTCATATAATTTATGCGTTAAAAAATTATTAAATATCTGCTACATTAATTTTTATTCTTCAATTCTAAATTTAATAAATGAAACACAATCAAAAAATTACAAACGTCAGCTAACTTTATTACTATTGTTAATTTCACCATAAAAATTAAGTTAGCCAACATCTAAAAATTTTTAGAATTTATTTTTTATCAAAAATATGATGACAAAAAGATAAAAAAAAAAAATTTATTTGTTAAAAACTTTATAAACTGTTTTTAAAAAATATTTTTTTTGTTCTACCTAATGTAACTATAAAAAAAAAAAATTAAAAACGTCGGCTAACTTGAGATGAAAATTAAGTTTGCTGACATTTGAAAATTTTTAGAACTTTTTTTTTATTGAAAAAATTATTGCAAAGTAATAAAAAAAATTTTTCATTTGTAAAAAACTTCAAAAACTGTAAGTGCAATTTAAAAAAATATTTTTCAGTTTTAATTTAATAATTATAAAAAATCAAAAAATTAAAAACGTCGACTAACTTTAGTATTATAAAAACGCGCACTGTGTCATATTATTACGTAAATTAATTTAAATAAAAATATTTATTTAATATCAATAAATTTTAATAAATAAACCGTTGCCATGAAAACATTTCTAGTGTACATATGTGTATTAGTTTCAGTTTTTTTCTGCGCATCTCTGCTCTGACAAATGACAGGCGCTAAAATAAAAGACTGCCATATTGGGGGTGCGGACTGAACATCTGCTGTTTCTGTTTCGTGATTCAACTTTTTTTATACGCAGTATAAAATATATTTTTCAAATAGCAATTGTCATCCAGTCTTAACTTTTTTTAGAAAAGTAATAACTATCTTATTGAATTTATTTAAACTTAAATAATTAAACAAAAATGACTCTGGTACCGCTTGAATCTAACCCTGAGGTAAGTAACCGGCTTTTTTTTTTATATATACAATTATCAAAATACTAATATATAATTTTTTTTTGCTTTTAGGTTATGACCAAGGTACGCAATTCTCCAAAAAACATTTAAAATTTTTAATTATAAATTAAATAGTAAGTTTTTATTAATTATTTAAAATTATTTTTATAGTTTATCCATAAAATTGGCGTACCGGCAAAATGGAAACTGAGTGACGTCTACGGGCTGGACGAACCATTATTGGCAATGGTACCTAAGCCGGTTTTAGCTTTAATTTTACTCCTGCCAGAAACTGAAAAAGTAAATATTTTTTTTATTTTTTAAGTAGTTATTTAATAGTTTAAAATTTACGATACTAAAGTTAGCCGACATTTAAAATTTTTTTATTTAATAATTAAATGAGAACAAAAAAAAAAAAATTTTTTTTTAAATTGCACTTACAATTTTTGAAGTTTTTTACAAGTGAAATTTTTTCTTTATTTTTTTACAATCATTTTTTCAATAAAAAAAAAATTCTAAAAATTTTTAAATGTCGGCTAAATTAATTTTCATTAGAATTTACTAATTAATTTTTGACGTATTAATTTTTTAATCAGGCAAAAGCTTACGCAGCAGAATTGGAATCTAAGATAAAAGCAGAGGGAAAAGAGCCACCGAAAAATATTTTTCATATGAAACAGTGTGTGACAAATGCTTGCGGAACTGTTGCTTTAATTCACTCCATTCTCAATAATCTTGACCAGTATGTTTATTTATTTATTTATTATTATTTTTATTTGTTTATAAATTGATTTATAAATTCAATTTTTTTTAAATAATTTTCTAAACTTAGTTTATTATTAAAATATTTTCAAGTGTCTAATAATTATAATATATCAACGACTCATTATAGTTAATTTTTTTATTATATAAAATATTTTTTTAAGAGCGCAAAAATGGTAGACATTTTTAAAAATGTTAATTGAAGAGCTAAAAAATTTGTTTTTATTCTAGACAATTTAATTTCTAGAATGATCTAATTAAATTTTTTAATTTTCTAGAATTGATTTAAACGATGGAGCTTTGAAGAATTTCTACGAAGAAGCCAAAGATTTATCATTCGTTGAGCGCGGTGAATTATTAATGAAGGAAACCAATGAAATAATTGATGCTCACAAACAATTAGCTAAAGAAGGACAAACTCAAGCACCTCCAGAAGACGAGCCAGTTGTTCATCACTTCGTAGCGTTTGTTGAAAAAGATGGAACACTTTACGAGCTTGGTAATTATTAATTATATATTTATTTCATAAACTACTGAAAATTACTGAAAATTTTAATTTAAAATAATTTTAAAGGACAATTATTTCTATTAATACTTACTATAAATTTCAACAATTATTTTTGATCAGATGGATGCAAGTCAGCGCCAATAAACCATGGTCCAACAACCAAGGAAGCTGTTTTGGATAACGCTGCTAAAGTTTGCAAGGAATACATGGCTCGTGATCCTGGAGAAGTTCATTTTACAATGATGGCTCTGGTAGCCAATTAACTCAATAAAAATTAAAATTGCCTCGCGAATTAATTATTGATTTAATCAATATATATTTAATTTTACGCCTAAAAATAAAATGCATTTGCACAATATTTATAACTGCCATGAGTGTGATAAAAATTTTTGCTACTTAAGCCAAAAGATTGTACTACAAAATAAATTTTGCAAACCAGAAAAATAGGTGAATTTTTTTTTACTAATAAATATTTTATTTGCATTATATACTATCAAATATTAACAGTCTTTTGTATAAATAAAAAACACCGGTTTCTTCACTTAATATTAACTTTCAATAGCCGAATAGTTAGACGTATCTTCGATGTTTATCGAACAAGGAATGTACTCCCCATCATTATCCTGAAATTAAAATTCAAGGGTTTAGCTTAAAAAATTGTAAAAAAAAAATTTTTATAAAGATTCATACCGTGCTGACAATAATTTGTTGACTATCATCGAGATTAAGGCCTTCAACTTCTTCCTTAGTTAGAATTATAATAGACTCTTCGACGTTATTTTCATCGATGTACGTCATTGGAATATCCGAAGAGTCCTGATGAATATTTAAATAATTAGGTATCTAATTTTTAATAAAATAATTAGTAAAAAGTTAAATTCTTACATTACACATCGTAAGGTCAGAATCTTTTAAACTCTCAACTTTAACATCTGCCTGTTGAATAGAACGGACTCTTCTTTTAGTGACAAAGTTTTTGTCCATTTTTCTCTGTTCCTGTTGAAGCCGTCGCCAAATTGTGGTTTTTGGAATATGATAAGCCACTGAAGCAGCTGCTTGAGACATTTTTCCTTGCAAGCAAGCGGTAACTGCCTCTTCAAGGCGCATTTTTTTTATATGCTCGTCTTCTGTTTTACGTTTTTTCCAAAATGATTCTGGTAATTTTCCTTGGTCCACTAATTTTGTCTTATCACGAAACAATGTCGTTTTTGGAATCTAAAAAAATTCTCGTAAATAAATAACATTATATCTAAATTACCTGATATAAAATAAAAATACAAAGAATTGACCAGTATATTCATGAAATTTAAGTTAACAGTCACTATACTATTTTTTAATTTTATTTAACAAATTTTAAATGTCAATTTTTTTTTTTGCCATATTTTCTTTGTTACAAATAAATTTTAAAAATTAATAATAATCTGCTAAATTAATTTTTATAATATATTCTACAAAAACAATTACCTGAAACTCCAAAGAAACTTTAGTAAGATTTTCCCCTCTAGCCAAAGCTTTAACAGCAGCTTCTCTTTTGCGAGCATCGTAAGCCCGCTTGCAATCAGGCCTCATCGAGCGATAATTTTCTTTTTGGATTCGCCTCCACAAGACAGTTTTAGGTATTTTGTATCTATCAGATGCACTTTGAAAACTGGCTCCGTCTTAAACAATAAAACAAAATTAAAAATAAATAATTTAGCAACAAATAATATATTTATATTAATCTAAATAACTTACTCATAACAGCATTGATAGCCGCCTTGAGTCGGTCTGCAGGATAATCGTGTCTGGAGGTGTTCAGTTGCATTCCTAGAGCTTTGCACCTCATGTAGAGTGTCGATCTGGCCACATTGTTTTTGGTAGAAGCCTCAACTAAAGACAACCCTTGGCTCAAGTCATTCAGTGCAGCTTCCATGTTCGCAGGATTGTAATCTCTTTTGGGGTTCTCACGTTTGCGTTTTGTCTTGTTATTACCTTTTTCTTTCTCTGGTTTAACTTGTTCTTCTTTAACAGTACTCATATCTACTTCTTCAGTATATGTAACATCTTCAGCTTCATAATTTTCATTTTCAATTTCCCAAGTATTTTCTACGACTTCATTAGACGCATCCAAAGAATCTATTAATTGATATTCATCTTCATTTGTAAAATCAGACTCTGCTGTCTGAAACTGTGATTAAAAAAATCAATTGCTTGATTTAAAAAAATTTAGGTAGCAATTAAATTGCTATAAATTAAAAAAAAATTATTGACTTGTTATAAAAATTAAAAAAATTTTTGGAATTTTTTTAATTGAAAAAATTATTCCAAAAAAAAAAAAATTTGAAAAACTATAAGTGCAATTTTTTAAAAAATATTTTTAGTTCTAACTTAATATATGAAAAAAAATTAAAAAAAAAAAAAATAACCAACATTAATATTGTTTAAATGATTCTGAAATAAAAAAAACATCTGATAAAAATTGATAAAAAAATAATTACCTCCATCAGTGCTGATATTTTTAAAAACCTAGCAGCTTCAAATAAATTTCTGGTCCCTGCCGGAGGAACTTTTACATTCCCGGTATAACAAAATTCAATTATTGCTTTCATAGTTTCGGCTGAAACGTCATTAATTATGAGAGTCGGATTGTCCTCAGGAGCTTCTTTCAACACATCCTGCAAGTAATAATAAAAATTAATTTGTATACTTAAATTGAGTGTACTTGCCAAGATGAAGAGTGTTTATTTACTCTTAATAAATCACTGCAAGCACCGAGGATGAGACGGTGAGCTTGAATCCGTTCACCATCAACACAGAGCGTCACGTCAACAAGTGATTCATTATTGAATAATTGGTACATAAATCTTGGTATATCATCTTTGTAAGTGATCCACGTGAAAACATTGTATTCTCCGATATTGTTATCGGTCTGATCAACAATCTCAGTCATTTCGTTTCAATTCCGTTTCCTATTTTTTTGTTGTTGTTATTCGTTAGATATATGATGTTAACCTAACAATTTTAATCTTGGTGGGACTCTCTTATATGTCTCTGGTTCAACTTGCACGTTAACTGTAGGTATTAATGATCACATCTTTACCTACATTCTCCTTTTGTAAAAAGAATTTTATTTAAGGTAGTACCCTCGCGACATATAGTGCGAGTAAATTTGGGTATAGTTTAGGATATTTTTATCTTTCTCACTTGCTATTCCTTACTCACTTCTACTCATGGTTATTTTTGAATAATATTTAAAAATCTAGATGGTAAAAATCAATGAAAGTTTGAAAAAAACAAATAATAGCTGTTTTTTAATAGTAGTTTAGTTTTTTTTGAAAATCTTAAAAAAAGTTTCTTAGTTATAATAAAATATACGAGTAAAATTTTCGGTATCCCGTATATCACAGTGCATAACCTCCTCTAAAAATTCGAACTTTGAAATTAAATATCTCTGAAACTAGATGGTCAAAAAATTTCAATTTACGTCAATCGATGCAGAATTATATAAATATTAATCTGCCAAAATTTAAAAAAATTCCTAAGAAAACGCCTCTGGCGAGGGTACTACCTTAAGGAAATCCAAGTATACCCTGCTAGTGTAATGAATGTCTAAAAAAAATAATGCGTAGAAATACTTGTGCATTTTAAAATTAATTCATAACATTTTTGGGAAAATTTCCGAAAAATTTACAGTATTAATAATTATTAAAATTAATAATAATAATATTATAAATATATGACTCATTAATCACTACAAACAATATATATAAGTAAGAGTTTTTGTCGTCATTTCAGTCAAATTTTGATCAGAGTGTCATATCAAACATAATACATCAATATAATGGCCGAAGAATTTGAAAATAGTTATCAGTAGTTTCCGCACGTGATTAATTTGACAATCGCGGAATATAATCAGCAATTTATGCCGGTGCGATTGAGATACCCTGAAAACCCATAGATCTTCGTCCGTTTATACCACAGCGTATCGTTTGCCAACGGATTCGATCATTATGCAATCTGTCTCGATAAAGAGATTCCAGCCGGAAAGCCGCCAATCCATTTTTCTGCGACTTGGTCCTTAAACATATCTGGTAACAATTTTTTTGATTCAAACTGTGATCACTACGAAGTTGAAGACGCTGTTTTTCCGTTTATACGGTTACTCCATTAATTTTTATTCCCACGTGGAAATTAATACATGGATATTTGGCGGGCCTGCCATATACTATTTCTATGGATGTTGATGAAATCATCTAAATTAATTTAAATCCTGAAAAAAAAAAAAAATAAGAAAAAAAACAACCCCTGCAAAAGTGGAATTTGAACGTCAACAATGACAAGTCTCTCGACGTAAGTGTCGTTCGTTAGCGAAGATGATATCAATAAAGATCCTGATTGAAGACATACGCCTTTTGAAAAAAGGACGGGGACTTTCAACGCCCAGAACAAACTTCTTGGCATGGAGAACATTTGTCCAATTCAATATCAAGCGACGAAAGTCAATGTACTTGTACAAAGACAAACTGCAAGTCGCGATTATGCTCTTGTGTAAGAAAGAATTTTTTTTGCGGGTACAGTAGGTGCGCTTGTAACAGCTCAACAGCTTGTGCAAACGTTAATCCCGGCCAAAAACTGGACAGTTGTCTGCCCCAGATGAGGCTAAATCATCACACAACGATGCCCAATAATCGAGATAATTTTTATTCATTTTTTTTATAAATTTATAAATTTTTATTCAATTCGTTGATTAGTTTTAGAATTACTGATGTAATATAAAGTTTCTCGTGGACCCAATCCTTGACCAAAGCGTAACTAGTCAATCTCAAAAGCGCTAATTAAATTTATACTAAACCAGGACAAACTAAAGGTTCTGGGGTTCTGGAGAACCACAGGGACCACAGGGGCGTGTAAATTAAAATTTACTTACCGTTTGTTAATATTTCATCTAATTCTAAAAATAACCACTAGATGTCTTCAGACTCTCAAATTTCTTCAAACCAAGCTAATTTTTACATTGTAAAAAGCTGTTGCCCTTTTAGATAACTTTATAAATAAATATTGATATCGAAAACAAATAGATAACCCCGTGCTAAGTCTGTAAGTATCACCAGCCTTTATTACAACGCAGAAGTTAAGATGAAGTACCTGCTAGTTCTCTGCTTGCTGATTTTCGCTGATGGATCATCAGCTTGGCGGCGATTCTTTCGTGGCAGAAGCAAGGATGGTCTAGGTACCCCGAATTTGTCGAGGAACCACAAGCTGGCCGATGACTTGTGGTTCCAGCAGGAGCTTGATCACTTTGATCCCACCAATACTCAGACATGGCACCAGGTATGATATCATTTTTTTTTTTTTTTAATTATAAAATAAATAAATAAATTTATTTATTTATAGAGATACTTTATGAACAAACAATTTTTCAAACCTGGTGGACCGGTGTTCATTATGATTGGCGGTGAAGGAGAAGCTAGCGCTAAATGGATGGCCGAAGGACAATGGATTGAGTATGCTAAACAATTTCGGGCTTTGTGCTTTCAATTAGAGCACCGATTTTATGGCAAAAGTCATCCAACTCAGTATGTATTTTTTAAAATCAGTATTTTTTTAATTATATGACATTAAAGTTAGCAGTTACAAAAAAATTAGCAGACCCTTAGTCATTATTTCATTTATTTATTTATTTAAATAAACAAACCCAATAGTCTAGACCTTTAACAGAGTTAATAGTAATACAATAGTTAGTACATAAAAAAAACTTTTTTGAACTATAACAAGATGACTTATAGCTAGCATAGTGATTCCATATATAATTTACTGAATAAAAAAAAATTAATGATGAGTTAGCTATTGCAACTCATGCAAAATAATAGCAAATAACAAAAATAAAAAGAAAAAGAGAAATAAAAAACAAAATAAGTTACTTAAAAAAAATATACTTTTTTAAAAAATTTCTATGAACCATTTTTTTTTTTTTTTTCAATTTTTTTTAACATAATTTATTTGCTAAAAAAATCATTGAAATCTTCAAAATAATTTTAATTTAAATAATAAAGTTAGCCGACATTTTTTATTTTTTGATTTTGTTTAACTTATTAACTTAAATTAAAACTAAAAAAATTTATTTTTAATTGCACTTATAGTTTTTCAAATTTTTCACAAATAAAATTAAAAAGAAAATTGTTTTTTTAATAATTTTTTTAATAAAAAAAATTTTTAAATGTCGGCTAACTTTATTGTCATTTAATTTAATTATAAAATAATTTACTGAAGAATATAATTATTAAATTTCAATATAACATTATAGTTAACAGTTGCTTGGCCATTTTTTAATTTTATTTAACAAAAAAATTATTTTTTTAATTTATTAAAATTTCTACAACTCAATTTTTTTTTCTAATTTTTTTGCCATAATTTATTAATTAAAAAAATTCTTAAAATCATAAAATATCTATTAAATTAATTTTAATTAAAAATAAAAAAAATTAACAATCTCTAAATTATAATTACTCCAGAGATTTGAGCATCAAGAACTTGGTCTACTTAACATCAGAGCAAGCATTAGCAGACTTGGCCTATTTCATAGAAGGAATAACGCACTTGCACCAGATACCAGCCGGTACTAAATTCATAGTCTTCGGAGGGTCATACCCAGGCTCATTAGCAGCTTGGATGCGAGTAAAGTACCCTCACCTGGTCCATGGAGCAGTTTCAACAAGCGGACCCTTATTAGCAAAAATTGACTTCCAGGAGTACTACGCAGTAGTAGAAGACGCTTTAAAAACTCACTCTCAAGCGTGTGTGGATTCAATAGCCGCTGCGAACAAGCAGTTCCACGCGATGCTGCGTCACCGTATCGGCCAGCAAGATTTATCAAAGCTCTTTAAGCTCTGCGACCCCCTGGACCCAGCTGCTACCAAGAAAAACGACATTTCGAACCTCTATGAAACGATTGCGAGTAACTTCGCTGAGGTAGTTCAGTACAATAAGGACAACCGTAACAGTTCCAAGACCGCAAATGTTACTATAGACACTATTTGCGACGTATTGGTTGATGAAAAGCAAGGAATTCCCATCGAGCGGCTGGGAGCTGTTAATAACTTGCTCTTAAAAGCGAATAATGAGACTTGTCTGGATTACAAATACATGAAGATGATCGACGAGCTTAGAAATGTCTCCTGGAAGGCAGAATCTTCAGAGGGAGGTCGCCAGTGGTTCTACCAAACTTGTACTGAGTTTGGATTCTTCCAGACTTCTACTGCAAGGCCTGAATTGTTTAGTGAGATGTTCCCGGTTGAATTTTTTGTCCAGCAATGCACTGATGTCTTTGGGCCTAGGTATAATATTCACCTATTGGAGTCTTCTGTTGAACGCAGTAATCTTCTTTACGGAGGACTTCATATTGAAGTGTCCAACGTAGTTTATGTTCACGGGTCTATTGATCCTTGGCATGCGCTGGGAATTACTAAGTCTTCTAATCCATTGACTCCTGCGATTTACATTAATGGTATGCTATTTTTATTTATCTTATTGTTTATGACAATAACTAAGTGAATGAGCAAAATCTTGTCTAAGTTTTTTTAATTAAATTTAGCATAATTTGAATTAGTTAAATTAAACTGTACTTTCTTAAATATTGACGTTTTTAAAGATATAAGCTCATCTTGACGTTACACTTATCAAGAGCTTTCATTTGAGTACCCACACGCATTTTTTATATATTTTTCATATATACAAATATATGAAATATATAAATATATGAAAAATTGATGTAGGTACTCAAATGAAAGGTTTCGTTGAGTGTAACATCAGGATGAGCTTATATCTTTGAAAATGTCAATAGTTCATAAGATACAAGGTAATTTCTTAATTATTGACATTTTTAAAGATATAAGCTCATCTTGATGTTACACTCTTCAAGAGCTTCCATTTGAGTACCCACATGCATTTTTGATATATTTTTCATATATACATATATATAAATATATAAAATATATGAAAAATTGATATGGGTACTCAAATGAAAGGTCTTGATGAGTATACTATCGGGATGAGCTTAGATCTTCAAAAATATCAATAGTTCACGAGAAACAAGGTCATTTCTTAACTATGTATCTAGAGAGCATTTTCGAATGCAGCTTAAATACTTATAATAAATTGACTATCGGAGAGAATTATATAAAACCTTGAAAAGGCACTAATTCAAGTCAAGACCTTTGCAATGACACTAAATTTCTTTAAAAAAACCAATTTTATTTAAAAAGTTTCATTAATATAAAAAAATCAACTAGCCAAAATTTTCTTATTCATAATCTGTAAATCTCGACAGTTACATAGTGACTGCAGGTTACTAGTATTATCTTATTATACAACAATTGCATTAATAGTTATTAATTATCCAATAAACTTTCTAGGTACTGCCCATTGTGCTAATATGTATCCAGCGTCATCTTCGGATCTTCCGGATTTAGTTAAAGCTAGACAAAAAGTTGGAGCTATAATTCATGATTGGTTAAAGTAAAATAATTAAAAATTTATTAATTGTTGGTGAGTTTAAAAATATAAAGAGTTAATATCAAGATTTTCAGTGATAATTAGAAGACTGCAGTGATTTTCTTCTATAATTTTTTTTTAATTAAAGGTTTTGATATATGTTGGAAGAGTAGTGAATAAAAAAAAATATTTTTTTGTAATAATTATTAAATATATTAACTCTGACATAAAATACATCCAGGTTTAAAACTAAAATTTATCTGTTAAAATAATTTTAAAAATTATACAGAAAACGAAAAAATACAAATATATATATATATATATATATATATATAAATTTATATAAAAAATTGTCAGTCATAAAATAAAAAATTTAATTTTTGACCAAATGGACAACATTAGCCTTTCCTTAAAATCCCGATAAAGGTGAGGCCAAGGTGTCCATTATGGCCGTAAAAAAATATCCAATTTAATTTTATAAAAATAAAATGATAGATATATTTAAAAAAATTTTTCTTTTTTTAAAGTAATAAATTTAACTTGGATAAAACTTATTAGTATTTGAATTACATAAATAGATTATTATTTTTTGGCATGTTTTCCATCAGGATAAAATATTCCTGAGCCGTAACACGAACTCAAAATTATTTACAGTAACGTTAATTATTTATCATTATCAGTAATAACTATTATTATCAATTAATGTTACTAAAAATATTAATTAATTGATATTATAGTAATTATTTACAAATATAGTCAACCTTATTTTGGGCTAAGGTGAAAAATTAACATTTTTTAATTTTTTATTCTCAATTGTATAACTTTTCACATGTAAAAAACTTGAAAAACTACAAGTGCAATTTTTTAGAAATATTTTTTTAGTTGTAATTTAATTAATAAAAAAAATCAAAAATTTT